ATTAAAGACTGAATTTTTCTTATACATTACATGGCTCCATACAATCTGGATTAAACCGCTGGAGTCACATGGTTTTACACTTAGACTTTTTTTTGTCCTTGTAAGTACTGTACTGAGTAATATTAATTAGGAATAGGGTTTGGTTTAGGGTTAGTTAGATGTAATTATGCACAATCTCTGCTATTCCTACAGTGACTACAAGTAATGTGTAACAAGGGCACTGTAAAAAGTGTTAGCAAAATCTCTCATTTTATTAAAGATATCTTCATTTGTGCTCCGAATATGAACACATCATGGGTTATAGAATGATATGCCAATAAGTAAATGATGACAGAAATGTTTCTCTTTAACAGGAAGAATTATCCATTTACTTTATTATTTACAGTACCCAGCCCTTTTATCATATCACTTACAACTGATAAATAAAACCAAAATATAAATCTTGGTGCTGCTGATTACAACATACCTAATCATAATTCAGTATGCAATCAATTTTAGGACATAAGACCAATCGTAATTCAGTATGCAAATATATGTAAGACACAAACCAATTGCAATTCAGCATGCAATTCAGAAGACCAATTATAGTTCGGTATGCAAGTAAGCTAATTTTATTTATATAGCACATTTAAACATAGCAAAGCTATCCACTGTGCTGAACAAAGTAAAGGAAAGTTAAATAAAGACAGAATAAAACCAAACAAAACAGACAATAAACAAAATTAGAATGAGTTTAAAATGCTAAGGAATGGAGATACGTTTTTAACTTCAATTTAAAGGGGTGGTTCATTGCGATTTTACTTTTTTAACGTTAGTTAGTGTGTAATGTTGCTGTTTGAGCATAAACAATATCTGCAAAGTTACGAAACTGAAAATTCAATGCAAACTGAGATATCGTCTTTTAAAATTCTGGCAGTTTAATGCCTACAAAAACGGCTGGTAGGGACTACAACAAGTTACTTCCCGGGTTCGTGACATCACAAAACCAGGTAAACCCCGCCCTCGGGAAAAGGCAGCAAAGGGGGCGATGCCATGCTGCACTGCTTTAGAGAAGAAGAAGAGAAAACTAGAGGTGCACGTAAAAATCTGTTCATATATGAATCGTAATTCTGTCTTTTAACGATTCTAATGGATTCACAGGTTTCAAAATCAATGTTCACAAGCAGCGATTCTTAATACTGTTACTCGCGTTCCCCTGCTCTCTCTCTCTCTCTCATTCAGCTCAGCTCTGACAATGAACTGTTCCAATTATACACTTATTTTCACATAGCTATGAGAAGCATTAAACATGGACGCGCATTCGGTTGCTGTACTGTAATAAAGCTTTAATCAGGATAAAACCGTATATTAAAAGCTAACATAAGCAGTAGCATTTACAAATAACAGCGTATCTAAAAGTATGAGACAACAACAAACAAAAAACATAGGCCTACCATTAAAAGCCGTGCTTGCACAGGTTCTGCACGATCCTCTTCAATAATATCCTCTGCTTCTCAATCGGGCTCAAACTGATAAGCGATATTAACGATGCCATTGTTTACAATACAACCGGATCACATGCCGCTGAGGTGAGGGGCGGGACGTTTAGACGCGCACTAGAGGCGGTTTAGCCAATCACAACACACTGGGCCAGCTAACCAATCTGAGCCCATCACGTATTTCTGAGGGAGGGGCTTCATAAAAGCAGGAAATGATCAGTGCGTTTATGGGAGAAGGGACAGAGCGGTGTAGAATAAAGGTAAATTATTTGAAAAATAATGTGTTTTTTTTTAAACGAAGCATTAACACATTAGACTGCACCCCATAAACACAATCAAGCCTAGAAAAAAACCAGTGAACCACCCCTTTAAAAGTGGTAACAGAAGGTGCAAGGCAGATGTCCAGAGGCAGTTGATGTGAGAAACAAGACCAACTTTAATTCAGTATGCAAATAGATGTCAAATATTGCAGTCTGTTTACTGATTGAGTGCAATATGGGTCAATAGGTGTTTTTTTAAAACTTATCTTAAATTTACATGCTTTTTTAAAATTTAAGTTTTACGTTTATAAAATAAAAACCCAGAAATGGCTAGCACACCTAAATGTGAAATGACATCCAAAATATTTAAGGATTACAAGTACATTTACAACCACTGTAAAAACTTAAAATGTGGAAGAAAATCCATAATTTTTTAGCAATCATAAGCAAGTAAAGCTTAACAAAGCCAATAATCCTTAACATCGCTATGCTATGTTTCCATCACCCTATTTTAATGCGCATTTTGAAGTATCGCATGAGAAACGAGTGATGGAAACGCCGAATTTCGAATAAAAATCCCTTCATTCGCAAAAAAGTTTTTACGCTCGCTTGATGTGGTTTTCGACTTGTGCGAAAAAGGGTTGATGCGAATAATGGGAGATGGAAATGCATTTTGCGAATAAATTCCTCCAAGCGCATAAAAAAAGTCATGTGACTTTGCGCTATGGGACGGCAAAACCTGACTAACCAGCAGACTGATCTCATTCCACAGCATCTGAAATGTTGTTATGGTCATTCGGAAATGCACGAGCAAAGTCTGTCATCAAAGTAGGCTATTTCTGTTATAATTGCCTCCCAGAAATGTCTTACACGACTGCGTTCCCAAACAGCAGCATCCACCTCCGAAAGCAATGACCTCATTCATTGTGTTTCATCTGCTCGCTCTGAGGCACAAGTAATTTATTATATATGAAAATTATTATATTCTCCTACTTTTCTTAGTGATTTATAGTGCCAGTTTATCAGGAAGTGATGATTTTGTTCTCTTTGACTTGTTGGATGGAAACGATGCTTGTTCGCAAATGTTTTATGCGATATTCCAGTTTTGCGCATAAGTTAAATTCGCAGCTTTGGATGGAAACCCGGCTACTGATAATAAACAAGTCTGAAAAAGGAAAAAGAAAGAAGAACAGACTTAAATGCCTCTACATCAGCCAAGATCAAGGCCAAACCTTACAAGCGGCTGGTAAACAGGTTAATCAATGGTAAATATTGACTTTCACCAGGATCAAGACTCTATTCTACTGTCAGGCAACAGACACTTCTGAAACCATAGACGAGCCCAGCGTACTTTCCTTCGAGAACAGACGGACAGTCTTAACAACAACAACATCTGTGCCTTTATCATCCACAGAGAGAGAGAGAGAGAGAGAGAGAGAGAGAGAGAGCTGGAAGTGTTTGACAGCACTGCACTTCTTCAATTACTATGCGATTCTAATCACATGCTGTACACTAAATTGGCATCTAAAAGCTTCCTGCCCAACGTGCAGCAGAGGGGGAAACTCCAGGGCGTAGCTGCTCCAACACTCCTCCCAAAATCCTGTGGAGATGGAATTCTGGAATACTGACATGTCAGAAACGTGGCTCTGGATCTGGATTGTGAGCAGGACGTGAGGTGACCCCAGGTGGGTGTCAGAGCCAGTTTCAGGTTGTGTTGTGTTTGGAGTCTGAAGAGCTGAAGGTGGAGGTAGATATGAGTCCTCAGGCCAGGCTGAATGAATGGGATTTACAGGAAACTTCCCACCCACTAGGCCACGCTCACACACATGCCAAAGGAGGGGAAAAACCCCAGGTCCATGGGAGAATGCGAAGCACATTTGTTTTGAATGCTCATTTCTTCAAGCCCTGTTCTCTCGTTCTGTTCTGCCATGTGAAATCCATCACTGATGCATTTCAGTGCACTGCACAGCTGCCAGCGCCTTGCATGAAGCGGCCCGCGTGAAACCGTATACCGCTAGACACATGAGTGCATAAAATCCACATAGCTCTGCATGCTGGGTCAACAGACCTCTATTTTTGACCCCGTTTTCATTAAAGGGGTCCTATTATGCTCTTTTACAAAGTCTTGATTTTGTTTTGGGGGTGTACTAGAACAGGCTCTCATACTAGGTTGTTCGAAAAACACATTATTTTTCACATATTTTACATTATTACAACACCTCTCTCCCCAGTCTGGCATAAACAGCTCGAATAGTTCCTGTTTCAAATGAAGGCCCGCCTTCTGAAATACGAAATGTGCTGTGATTGGTTAGCTGGGCCAGTGTGTGCTGTGATTGGCAGCACTCGGTGCCTGGTCAGGAAATGTCATGCCCCTTAGTACCATAGCTGCTTGTGAGCTTCAGTGTAAATATTGCTTCAAAATCAAATCAATCTGAGCGCGATTTAAACCCGGACATTGAAGCTTTTTTCCATATGTCGCAAAACACAAAAAGACACACAATCTGTTTTGTAAAGGGATAGTTTCATTTATTTGGCACATTCCAACCTTTCCAAAGGCAATTGTGACTATCTCACAATTCTGACTTTTTTTCTCAGAATTGTGTGATATAAACTTGCAATTGCGTGAAATAAAGTGAGAATTGCAAGATATAAAAATATAAATCGCAATTTTTTTTTCACAATTCTGACTTTTTTCCTCACAATTACGGGTTTATATCTCGCAATTCTGACAGTTTTTTTGACTGCTTTGAGTTATAAAGTCAAATTCTGAGAAAAAAAAAAGACTGACTACTTTCTTTCAATTGTGGGTTTATTTCATGCATTCTGAAGAAAAAAAAAATTGTGAGATAAAAAGTCACAATTACCTTTTTTATTTTTTATTCAGTGGCAGAAACGGGCTTCCATACTTTCCTGCTTTTGTGGAACATAGAAGAAAGTTCCCAGACTGTTCATGCTGCTCCTTTCTATGCACCGAAAGGGAATGAGGACTGTCCAGCTATTATATTTTATTGTGTGATCCACGGAAGAAGTAAATCATTCTGGTTTGGGTGAGTAAAATGATTACTAGTTTGTTTTTTTTGGGTGAACTAGTCTGTAAAAAGCTCAAAACTTTGAAAATTAAGAAAAGGTCTAATAGATATTGCAAAAACGCTGTTGAAGGCTTTGGTTATCAGTGCCCTCAAGTGACAAATGAGCTTTCATTTAAGGAAAAGAGAGAAATTCAATGGCCAGCAGTGGGATAAACAGGACAGAAGATACTCACCGACGACCATGAGAGTGAACTCGAAGCCCCTCTTCACAGACTTTCTGTACACTTGGTTGGGGAGATTTGCAAATCCCACATACCCCTCAAGGTTCTTCTGTTGCTGTGGACCAAAACCAAACACAGTCGATGGCTTTAGCAGGCATGACTGACAAAACACTACAAACGAGAAACACGTAGGCGGCCATCCATCATGACCACAGCTATTAATGTATACGCTCAGACCGACACAAACATTCAAAATCTGTGAAAATTATAAAACCTTTTTACTCAGGTGTCCGAAACTCTTTTCTATTGCACTGCGAAGAAAACTAGCCAACCAATAGGATTGGCACTTTTGGTCACATGCCCAAAAAGTGCTAAGCAACAGTGAACCGCAGAGGAAGAATCTGGCAGTGGCTCTCTTAAATCTGACTGAATTGTTCTCGGATTGATTTGAGAAACACAATTTTGCACACTGCTGTTCTTCTGTACCGCTGTATTTCTGTTTTTCCATAAGCGCCACCAACTGGCATATTGAATCTGCACACAAATCGCTCGCGTAAATCGAATCAAATTTCACAGTTTTTTGCATTGAACATTCAAGTTGGTGTGACCAGGCCTATAGGTTTTCCTTCATCAATTTCATTGGCCACCAGGCGAAAAATTTTTAAGTTACTTAACATGCTATCTCACAAACCACATGATGAGGTATTATTCATGCTTATAGCATAAATAATGTGGGATGCACAGTGTGGAACACTAAAGTTTAGTACTTAGAATTAGGGATTTGAACAAACCATTGAGCCTAGGGGTGGGCGTTATACCTGTAGAGACGATTAACCGAGCGGTCAAGCGGTAGAGATTTTGGACTATCGTCTCTATCGCAATTACACGCTCATGTGAAGTTGCAATGCTACGTGGTCACGAAAACATATCGTTTACATGCATTTTTTTAAGCATTGCGGTTTAAAAACAAGTGATTTTAAGCAGCTGAAATGCAATCAGCAGCAAAAGAGAACTCATTTCGCTATATGCGCGCGCTGTCTAATCCTACCCAATACCTAAACTTAGCAACTACCTTACTAAGCAGTAATTAGGAGTTTATTGCGGCAAAAGTCATAGTTAATGGTTAATTAATAGTGAGAATTGGACCTTAAAATAAAGTGTGACTAAAAACACATGTAACAGTATACTGGATCCGGGCAGCTCTTAAAGTGACAGCAGTCTAATATTTCTGCTGTCTGTCATTCAAATTTGTATATATTTTTTTTATTTAGGCTAGTATTAGTTTTTTGTGATATTGACACTGGTGAAGAGAATTATGAAATTTCTATGGTATCAAAAATTTTGATATCATAAAGACCTTATTTAAAGCAAAAATAACTATACCGTGATATATATATTGTTACCGTGAAATAAAATTACTTGTATCGTGATATAAGATTTTGGTCCTAATTGACCCTAACTATGAGTGTTAGTTATAGCCTTAACACACCAATTGTAATATCTAATACTAGATTTTGAGCTAATTAGCAGTACAGGCTCCAGATTTTAGAGATATTTTGGGGAGCTGAACAACATATGCATTTGTAGTTTGTCGAGGTGTTTGAAATGACTGTACTTACTGCTACTTTGGAGAGCATTCAGATCATGTTGATCCACAGATCGATGGATGAATAGATGAAGAAGAGATGATCAGATTCCACCAGGCAGGGAGAGAGGCATCCACATTCACAAAATAAAACACAAAGAGACAGAATGAGACAAAGAAAGATAACAGCTGAAGTACATTAAGAGGTTTTCATCTGTAGCTGTTGGTCTGCGTCTGCGACTCACTAAGAGCTTCAACAAAGCCATTGGCTCTGGCTGCTCAACACCAGCTGTCAATCCAACCAATGAGAACAATGTATGGCTGGGCGATATGGCCAAAAAAAATCATCTCTCTGTATTTTTTACATTTTCTATTTGGATAAAAAAAAAAATATAAAAAAATACACTTACTTGTAGGTTTAGAATTCTACATATGATACATTTATTGCACTCTTATTCTATGGACCTTTTTCACATTTCCGGGTTTCTCAGCAGCGGAAGTCGTCATAGTTGGGTTAACTTGAAGAGCAGTGAATGGGAGAGTACCACAAATATATATATGTTTTCATGACTTTCAATAAAAGGAAAAAAATTGAGAGAGACTGATAACGGCAGTCAGAAGAGAGAACGACGTCAAATTGACCATCCCTCCCATAGACGCTGCATTAGAAACACCCTCACATTAGCGTTAACTGTTTTTTTTTGTAATTTGATGCAAAGGTGATATAATACAAAGAATATTGTTATAAATGTACATACATTTTTTTTTAAATACAAATATGAAAAACTTTCGAGGATTTACGATGCTGATGACCGTTAAACACGCATCATCACAGTCTTGTGAAAAGGGTCCATTGCGCTCCGTCTTTTTGACGCGCATGCGTTCACTGAAGTCTGTGAAGTTTAGTGGAGAATCGCATGCAGAAGGCTCCAAAATGGACAGCAATATTTCCATGACTTTCTAACATTTACAGAAGGAGAACATACCTGTGAAATGTAAGTTCATTGAGGAAAACAGCACATCTCAAATGCATTAAGCAGGGCGAGTATCCTATCTGTCAGCAGCACATGTGTCTGTCAGAGCATCTGATGGGGGAACCGCTTTAAACCATACATGTTAACTAGGCTATATCTTAAAAGTTATTTTAAAGTCCTTAATACTGTATAAAGCATGTCTCATGTTTAGGACAAACTGGATTATGCACTTTCCCCGCAGCAACTCACTCTGTGTCCTCTGCTATAATTCAGATGCGTATATCATATGATATTGCCTATTAAAAATATATCGATATATCGTACAAACTCGATATACCGCCCAGCCCTAGCACAAAGGCCTTGTTTATATCTGGTATTAACATCCATCTCAGGTGATCCAAACACACGTGTTCAATCAAACCACATTCAAATGGTCACATTACTACCAGGTGTGAATGGCCAATAAGATATAGACATACTTTAAGAAAGAAACACATCTGTGGAAGATTCTGTAAATATCAGTCTATTTTAGTCCCAATACCAAAAATGTACAGCCTGTAGTGTTTTCCTAATGCTGCGCAACCAAACCACTTCTCTAAACATACAGAATTACAGGAAGGCCAGAAATGGGGCTTTACAGTGCACAGGCTGCCAGTAAAACGGACTTAATTGAAAAATCCTCTCACTGAATAAACCAGGCCTTTTCTTTCTGCTGAAACAGCAAATCATCAAATGCATTGATCTGTGACTGCAGCACATAAAAACCCAACTCATTTGACTATCAAAACCTTCATCTTATTCTGCTTACACTACAAATGGAAACGTCCTGGAGGAACACGTGCAGCTTGACAGAAACAAGTCTGTGATGATGATGCAGAAAGTCTGCTGCAACGTACAGTAAAAGGCTATCAAATTAGCTCAGATGACTTATGCATTATATTCAAGGTCTTCTGAAGTCATAAGTCAGCTTTATGTGAGGAACAGACCAACATTTATATTCAAAGTAAGTTATTCAGCGTTAATCACATTTTCATACAATTTGCACATACAGACTTGGCGCAGACAGAATCACTGAATCCAGTCATTTAAAAAAACACATTGAATCTAAGCTACTGTATAAGACGGAATATTACAAATTTTGTGATTATTAAACCACAAAAGACTGAAGTATGTGTGATTTTTTTCAGTCAAAATAAAGCAAAAATTCAACTTTTTATTCATCATGTAAATTGCTTTAGTCCAACTGAAATCATACTGGTCTGATTCTGCCAAGTCAGACAAAAGTTTCCTTTTCAGGTGAACGATCCCTTTAAGAGGAACTATTGCCTTTATTTTGTGTGTCTGAGAAATTTTGCCCTCTCTTACTCTATTTTCACCACCCACACAATGGATAAGCAATGCTCTGTCTTGAAACTACAAATGAAAGTTACGAATATCCTGCACAACTTCCTGCTGATGTTATCATTGGGTGTTCTTCTAGAAGGCAGGTGTGAGGTGTGAACACACGAGTACACGCAGAAGTCGTCTGAAAAGGAAAGCTGAGGGTCCTTCAGTAGGCTAAATATTCCTTCTTCCAGGCTAAAAGCCTGTCAAAGACGAGACGCTCAGTATATCTAAAAAAGAACATCTCAATGAACCAATACGGTAAATGCTCTGATGCAAATTTGGATGGTCTCAACCACACACACCAGCAAAAACTAACCCAGACCGCCATGAGGAACGAGCCGAAGACCCAAAAAAGCACAAATGGATTTCCCCGGGGTGAAGCATCAACAGAAATAGTCCACAAGGATTCACACAAGCAAAAATCAAAACATGCCAGGGCTTTCATACATATATTACCTCAAAGTCACATTCTGGGTCACTCACTGATGTGGGTTATTATGGGATAGACGGATGCCTTCATCCAATATATGACCATGAATGCAAAGGCTTAATCAAAATGTGCCAAGTTTCACTGTGACAAGCAGCTTACACATTCTGCAAAATCCTTCTTGTTCGTTCCATAGAATAGATAAGGGTAACAGGTTTGAAACATCACGAGGGTGAGAAAATTATGACAGAACTTTCATTTTTGGGTCATCCATCCCTTTAAGGATTTTTTAGATGACACTTGACCAAAACCATTACCGTGCAGCGATCTAAAGGGAAGATGAGAGCTTGAGAGTGACTGCTGTCCTGAAACAATGACGTTTTTGTATGTGGCTCAACTGCCGGAAGAGATGTGGTAGCCTAAACCTAAAGCAGTAAAGAAAGATAGACAGAAAGGCAAAGCAATAAAAAGGAGTAAATGAGATGCAGCGATGCCCATTTTTTACATGACACATTTTCAACGAGTAATTCACAGGATATGACTGACTCACAAGTCAGACAGTCCAAAATGAACTGCAAACCACACAATTAAAAAAATGCTAGTGGAGTGACTCTCCGAGCAGCTCTGGAGATGAACTTTGTGTGTTCTTGTCCTCATATAGTGAGACGGCAGACGCTGAAACCATGCTTTAGTATACTGCGCTTTAAAGGGGTCATATGATGTTGCTAAAAAGAACATTATTTTGTGTATTTGGTCACCGCACTTTTGATTTATTCATCTAAAACTCTCCAAATTCCATGACAATGCACATTATACAGTAAACTGCATTTTTATGACTCGATTCCATGATTCCATCCGCATTTTCCGTATTGAGGAAATCATAGGGCTCTACCAGGATCTTGTCGACTCATCGCAACAGCACGTGAGCAAAACAGGCAGTCTCGGTCTGGTTTTCTCATCACACACTCAATGAAAGCAGTCAGACAATACAGCCCATAAAGGCTATTCTGACCACCCGCAGTTCAGACACACATTCTCTTTTAAGGTTTCAGTTGTAAACCATTCACTTAAAGGGATAGTTCACCCAAAAATGAAATTTACCCGATGATTTACTCACCCTCAAGCCACCCTAGGTGTATATCACTTTCTTCTTTCAGACAAATACAATCAGAGTTATATTTAAAAATGTCCTGGCTCTTTCAAGCTTTATAATGGCAGTGAATGGGTGTTATTTTCCAATAATACAAAATAAGTCCAATAAAGTGCATCCATTCATCATAAAAAGTGCTCCACACGGCTCCGGGGGGTTAATAAAGGCCTCCTGAAGCGAATCGATGTGTTTTTGTAAGAAAAATATCCATATTTAAAACTTTATAAAGAGTAATTTCTTCCTCTAACTGTCGTACGCACGTTCACAATAGAACGCCGTTCCGGCGGATGATGTAGGATCAGGGCTCGCAAAATTTCTAAATCCCTGGTAGCCCTTCGGGCAGGTACTCTTCAGATTTTGGTAGCCCGAAAATTAATTTAACTAGCCCAAATAAAAAAAACACCCTTTTTTTAAATATAGAAAATCAGATAGGAGTTTAAATGTCAATCAAAAATATTTTCAATACACAAATATCAACAAATATGAAGGAAGGAATTTTATTTCACTATTTACAGGGTATCTATATTTTTACAAATAAATTTAAGGCAATTTATGACCCATTTTAAGAACTGCAAAAGTCAAATGAACAGTATGAGTGGGGTTGGACAATGTCTGTGGTAACATACAGTACTGAGCCATAAAATTACATGATTTACAGTTCAGATACAGCTTTTCACAAAAACTAAAATCTTATACAACAGCATTTCAGCCTTTAGACCATTTTTATGAAAAGGGATAAATCAAGCATATCAATTGTCAATTTAAAACGTATAAATATTACCGTCTTAATTGTTAGCCATGGAATAAAACACACAGTCACATGTGAACGGACAGAACCGATTCAAGCAGTAGCCATGTGATCCAAACATGATGGGAATAAAGGAGGAATTCTTCTTACTGAACAACAGTCCAACAGGGTCTTCAGCCACACCAGAGATCTAACTTACTGATGATCATGCTGTGTGTTGCTATAGGACAAATTTCTTTTTGTACACTTCTTCTGTATAAAGGCTGAGGTTTCATTCAAGATGTTATGCTGCCTAAAAGTAAAGGTAAAAGCAGGTAATCTACATGCAACATCTTAAATATGAACTTAAGATGCATGAAATCAAAATTGGCTCTATGGACTTTGTTAGCACTCAAATGACTAGTCTTGTGATGAATGAATAATCCATGCAAGTAAACCCAGAGAAAAAAAAAAAGTGTTCTTCAGTCAGTCAAATTCTGAAAATGTGCTTCCTCTCTGTTTGACGATGCCAGTCTGACGGCTTGAGCAGAGCATCCTAAACCCTCCCGCTAGAGATGGTGTGGAGGTGTGCAAAAATCAAGCCCAGCCTTCTAGTCAATATCGTGTTTCACTCAGAAATTCATCACAGAAACTCGGTTGCACCTTCTGGTTCAAGCAAACTTTAATTATCACCAAATGACAATTTTGGAGGGAAAAAAACAAGCTGGTCATGCAATTAATGTTTAAAAATGTAAAACTAATAAATGTATTCAATGTATTGTATCTGTATAATGCTTTATTTGTATCTCTGTATCTCATTTCTTGTCAAATATGTACAAGACGGATCATTTGGGTATTAAACAAATCAATCTGTTTACAGATCTAGCCAACTATCTGTCCATCCATCTATCTCTATGTGCCCAATCCATGAATCTGTCCGTCCCTCTATCTATCCATACTTCTATCCGTCTGTCTATCTATCTATTAATCTATCCGTCCCTCATCCGTATTTCCATCCAATGGTAAGTGATCGATTCTCTACAGCAGGGGTGTCCGGTTCCTGGAGGGGCCACTTTCAGGTGTTTAGCTCCGACACACCTGCCTGAAAGTTTCTAGCACTCTAAAACAGCTTGATTAGATGGTTCACGAGAAGGAGAAGAAATTGTGTGTTTAATTAGTGCTGGAGTAAAGCCCAGGAGCAGGATCCTCCACCCCTGACCGACTGCAACACACACATTTGAATATTTCTACAAAGCTGAGAGAGAGTGACAGACAAGACTCAAGAAGGTGTTTCTTCAAACAGACAGACTACAGCTGCAAATGTCTGGCCACAGCACTGCATTCACTGCTTAAACCCATGGTTTTCTGGACAAAATATTGCGGTAATGCCATATTTTGTGTATTATGGCATTCTTTATAGTACAATGAACATACCACAGCACTATGACACAGAGTACCACGGCATTACTATCTGATACCATTATTATACCACCCACAGTGCATTTTTTGCAAGCGTAACTGTTTAAGTAACATACTTATACTAGAAAAGAGACGGTAATTGTCATGATAATGACCAAAAGGGTGAAGATTAGACTGAAACAGGAGCTCGCGAGCAGATCTATTTGTCGATTTACACACTCAGCAAACACATCTGTTCAAAACACACTGCCCAAACAAAGCTATAAATCTGCGTACAGAAGAGTTTGACAAACCGCGACTTTAACAAAGCGAAAGGGACTAAATACTCACCCATTCTGCTGACGCTCCCGGCCGCCTCTGTAACCGACCTCTCGCCGATCGACATTGTCTTTCTCCAACTCACGCTCCGGCCCACAGGCGTACGCCACATTTCTTGCGTAGTCTCCCTTGACAACCACGGCGGCTGCGGCGGTGGCGTATCTTTGGTGAATAGCGTCCGCACAAATCTCGCGATAATTTATGCAAGCCACAAAGGGGAAAGATTTGTATTCAAATACGGGTGTAGCAGACAATACATCTGCATGTTGCTGTTTGTAAACAAGTTTCGGAAGATTTGACGAGCTTTATTTTTTAAGTTAACTAAATAATTACAAAAAAAAAAACAATTGCAAATCAAAGTAAAATGAATAAAAACAAACAACAGATTTCGAACTGAAACAAGAAACAAGGCGTTGATAATGAAGAATGTTTCAACAAATACCTAAATATTAGTAAATACAAGTATATACATGAAAAATAATGTAGACTTAAACGATACGATACCTATAGACACATAGTGGCTGTTCCATACTTGAAGGGCCTCGGTCTCTTTATCTTTTTTATCTAATAATGTGAAAATGCATAGATGCACAGTAAATTCCGTTCTTTCTTGATGGACCGGTTGAAGACCTACATTTGTCTCCGGTTCCGTTGATTTAATTACCTTGATTATTTACTACAATGGAGGAAGCAGTGAGAAGAGCGAAACAATGCTGCCACCTGCTGGCTAAAGAGTATAGCAACTTGACACCTTGTTACAGCGCTGGGTAGATTAGTTACAAATTATAGTACATTACTGATTACAAATTGCATGACGAAGATTGTAGTTAGAAACATCCTCTGGATTACACATATTTGGTAATATAGTTTTTGATTACTTTTAGATTACTTTTGACCCAACTCGTTTATCAAATAAACTGGAATGGGAGTATTGTGTATGGTATTATGCACCAAAACAAAAACAAAAAAAGAGAGAAAATATATTTAATTCTTATTGTTATCAATATCATTAAATGCTTTCAACCTTACACATTGCATTACAGCAGGGTTTCCCAAACTGGGGTTCATGTAAAAAAACAAAACAAAACAAAAAAAAACAGTAGGGTGTTGATGAAAAGCTAATATAAAAATGTCATATTAAAATTACAAGTAATATAAAAATGTCAAATTGTAATGAATTCAAATTTGTCAATGTGACCAATGTGGCCACCGTCATCAGAGAACCGTGAACATGCAAATATGTTGTTAAATTATTGAAATTTCTTGGGGACTTATTTAGGTCAAAGTGGTTCAGCTCACAAAAAAAGCTTGGGAATTCCTACATTACATCAACAAACATTAATAAACATGAAAATATGACATTACATAGGCCAAAGTCGTCCAGGTTTGAAATATTTTTGTCCAGACTTCCAATATCAACAATCAGTGAAGGTCACTGGATATGAAGACGACATATTTCACTGCATTGGCAGTGTTTAGTAACTTGCATAGTTATTAGGTAGGTTCATTTAGAAAGGAAAATAAGAACTGAGATGAATCAATAAATTATGAAATATTTATTGCCATTGTGTGAATAATGTGCAAGCATGTAATCCATAAAAAAGTAACTGTAATCTGATTACGAGCATTTTAAAACGTAATATAATCTAATTACAAATACTTAATTGTTGGAATCTGATTATGTTACATGAAAAACTAAAACACTAGTTCTATCAAATTAAATATAGAATAATATTAATTATAATATATACAAATGTACATTTAATGCCAGCCAACATCGGTTAATGTTGCACCATGGTGTAGTGTTGCATAATGTTTAATTCTGAACAAACCCTTGCCCAAGTAATAAACACTAGGATGCTTTATGAGAGCTCAGTGCAAAATATAACAAAATCATGCAAAATGAAAGCAAAAGCCAATAAGAATTCCCTTAAGTTCAGTTACGCGTTGCTACAAAGTCCTTTGCAAGTATTTCACATTAAAAAGGGAGCAGTGTAGTCTTTTTGGCCCAATGCATAGTTTTATGACAGCTTTCAAAGATCGTTGATATTGTCAGCAAGAGGTACTTTATATTAATACATTGTTACATGTTTCCATTTTTGTTTCTATTGTATCCTGGAAAATATTTAACACAGGAAGCTAAACAAGTTCATTTATTGCTTTAGGTACAAGATCACATATTCAAACCTAAATCATACAGAAAACAAGGCACCGGTGAATAATACATGCATAGATTAAGACACAAATATTGTGTTGATCTCAAGCTTCTCCAACATTTCTGCTCAGCGCTTTGGCCAGCTTGGTCTCTCTTCCAAACCACTGCGCAGAAAAACACCAATATTAAATATCATGACTTACTGCTTAAAACATCTCCAGTTAATTAATTTGGTGACTGAATAAAATAAATCCAATGCACTTGCTTTGCTTTATGCTGCTCCTCAGCTCCTGCTTGTGTCATGAGATCACCGACGTTCTTCTCCAGATCATCTATGCGTGTTCCCATCTCATCCAGTTCAGGCATTAAGGAAAACACTCAGTTCTTTGTGTAGCAGAGGGGTCTCCAACCTGCTTCTGGAGGGCTACCGTCCTGCAGATTTCATCTCCAACCCCAATCAAACACACCTGAACCAGCTAATCAAGATGTTCAGGGTACTTGATCATGACAGACAGGTGTGTAGGAACTCTGTGTTTCTATAGCACCACTATCAATGCCTAAATGAATCTTCTGTGGTCAGGTGGTAGCTACAAGTAGGAGCTCCCAGAAAAGTCCCATCTTAAAAGCTTTAATTACGAGTTCTACGAGGACATGAACGCACGCTTTTTACATGTTGAAACCTCGAAACTACAGTAAGGAAACTACAGGGCGTGAACGCACCTTTAGATCCAACCCTGCTTCGACACACATACCTGTAGTTCTCAAATAATCCTGAAGGACTTGATTAGCTGGATCAGGTGTGTTTAATTAGGGTTAAAGCTAAACTCTGCAGGCCTGTGGTCCTCCAGGGACCAAGTTCGACACCCCTGAAATAAATGGTTTCACACAGAATGAAGTCTGCACAATCAAGGAACCCAAAGAATGTGAAAATCCAAAGTGTGCGCTGTTGCCCTTGCATTGTGTATGAAACATGATATTACTGTGGTAGCAATTCAAATACATTTTATGCTAGTGCTATAGTAAACGCTTTAATCTAAGCATGCCGAGCTTCTCCAAAGTGAGATTATGCATCTGAAAAGATATTTTTGGAGATGATTTGGTCAGATAAGTTCTGAAACCTGCTCTGAAGTTGTTGCATAGTCGTCTCCATCTGTTTGAAGAAATGAATTGAGCAGATTTGTCAAACTTTAACACAGGATCCTGCGACTGCAATTACACAATCTATAATCACTGTCAAATTAAAACAGATTAAAAAGATCACCTACCATTGCAGTCAAGTCTTTAGCGGCTTTTGACTCGGATCCTGCCATGAGGTTTGTTTGAGTTGATTTAGTTGTTAGTTATCAGCTCTAGGCAACGCTATATGGATTAAAACAGCACGAGGAAGATGTGTGCTTCAGTCTCAGAGATGTTTGAGCACACATATATATCAGAATAAACGGATTCTGTAACTTTTCAACTTTTCACTCTCATTCATTGCGTATAAAAACTTCCTCTTTCGTATGTAGTAGGCTATCCACATTTAACCCTTTTAGTAACTTAGCTGAAAGACATTTATGTGATTTCCAGTGCACTGGAGGATAAATCTTTTGAATTACACAGTGCTAATAATAGCTGTTTAATTTTGATGTCATGCGTTATGTAGCATGAGGTTTGCATGTAACTTCATCTGGATTTCGAGGGGATTAAACGACACAAAAGTTCCATCACAAGTATAAAACCGTTTGAGATCAAGTCAGGTCATGTCTGAGTCTAACATGTAATGGTAAATGTAATCCTCACGTGCAGAAATGCTGAAATACTGCGGTTAATCGATGATAAATGGTTGTATCTTTGGTTTTCCCTATCATAGGCGCGTCGGGAAACTCGACAGGCGATAGGACCGCGCGTCTCATGAATATGTAATGAGCACGTTGTGACGCAGTGCAACGCGGAAGTACTGTTATGAGCTCTAGCCAGCTGTAGCTGTAGCAGAGAGGATCACAGTGGCTTTAAAATGTGTTACAGCACTCTGCTTTCCTTTGCACGGAGAAGATAATATGGACCCACGCTGAGGATCTGTTCCCATCGATTTAGCAAGTATTTCTTCGCTGGAAAGAGGAATCACTTGAATGAATTAGGTCTATTGAGTCAGTGGATGTTGACTGGGACAATGAAAGTACATTTACTGCCGTTGTTTAGAGTATATATCCAGTAATCGGCAAGAAATTACATTTTAAAATGTGAACAAACCAGCAAACTAGTAATGATTTATGTTTCGTTACATTAGTGGGCTAGTCATTGCATTCAGTTGATTTTAATAGTAAGGGACAGCAGCTACATCACTCAAAGATGGATGAAGTGATTATGGATCAGATCATGTATGTTGCTCATCAAGCGGTGTCTTGGGTCGCATCTGTTGCCATCATATTTGGAGGGGTTGTGCCATACATCCCTCAGTACAGGGACATCCGCAGGACCCAGAATGCTGAGGGATTCTCCACATATGTGTGCCTGGTGCTGCTGGTAGCCAACATATTAAGAATACTGTTTAGGTGAGTTATTATATCTCAACCATCATGTCTGGAGACACAATATGTGACTGCAGGACAGCTATATGAGGAAACGATACAAACACATGGCACGTGATCCACTGATCTGCCATAATCCACTATAATGTGTGTATAAAGAGGCATTTATATGACACCAGTCTTTAAAACATGTCATACTGGATAATGTGCTTGCAAAATGTTCTGGGTTCTACTGGATAATAGATTGCTTATTTATTTGTGTGTGTGTGTGTATATATATATTTGTGCTGTCAAACGATTAATCGTGATTAATCGCATCCAAAATTAAAGATTTGTTTGCATAATATATGCGTGTACTGTGTATATTTATTATGTATATATAAATACATATATATTTCAGAAAAATATGTTATGTTTATATATTAAATATATTTATTTATAATATAAATTGTATGTATATAAATATAGACATGTAAATATTTTCAAAATATATACTGTATGTATGTGTATTTATATACACACAATAAATATACACAGTACACACATATATTATGCAAACAAAAACTTTTATTTTGGATAAAAATATAAATATTTCTTCTTCATAGATTTGTTTTATTTGTGCACTAATGATAATTATGATAATAATAATAATATAATAATAATAATACTAAAATTAAGAAATAATTAAAATGGTTTTTAAAAATTCTCATCATTGAATTCATCCACTCATAACTCATCCACAAACAGTCTTACCAATTACACTAGTTTTAGGTACAAGCTTACTGATATGCATAAATGATGGGGAAAGTACTGTTATAGCTTAGAATTTAAATTAAAAAAAATTTAATAAAATTTATTTAATTAAATAGAACAAGACAAGAAATTAAATAGAACAAGACAAGAAAAAGGTCATACATGCTGTCTGAAGACTTAACAGGCTAAAGAAACTGAGAGAAATGTCCAGTGTGTGATAAAAAGTTTATTGGTTAGAAGATGTGGAACATCGTGTCATAGTATTTGGTGCTTTTCTCTGAACTGTGTGTGTGTGTTTGTTTGTGTGTGTTGTTGTTATTTTTCCAGGCTTGGACGTTACTTCGAGACTCCGCTGCTTTGGCAGAGTATAATCATGATCATCACGATGTTAATCATGCTGAACCTGTGCACCAGCGTCCGCATGGCCACTGAACTCAACACCAAACGCCGCTCCTTCACAGGTGCCAAACTTTAGGACTCTTTACAGCCTCAGTGTCCACTTGAGTGTGTGTGTGTGTGTGTGTGGAGCTGCAGAATCAATTATGGGTTTCTTTTTTCTAGGTTTCTTTCTTTAAAAGTTTTATGAAATGTTTAATGAAATTCTCTTTCCCAGTCGATCTGTTTAGTTGAGTTTGGTTCTTCGGTTTAAAGCCTATTGAATTACAGTAAATGATGCAGTCACATGGTCAGGTCTGTCTTTGAGCGTGTCTCATGAGATTGTCATACAAGAAGGGCTTCTGAAGCGGATGAACTTTGATCGGCTGGCTGCTTGGTCAACATCAGTCTCAGGTTTATTTATACTTGGGGTGTGTTACAGAGTTAACAAAAGATGAATTTGTTCTCTCAAACTGAGCCAGAGCACTGAACTTGGGCTTGCAATACGTATATTGTGTACTGTGTACTAATTTTTAAGAATAATATGTGATCCAGTGTATAGTATGTAAAGGCTTTAATTTTTCAAACTTGGTGAATCATGCAAATTTTCAAACAAATTGAATCAAGATACAACCCAACATTGAAATTCAAGTCTTAAAGTTCCCATGATCTCATTTTGAACTGACCTGTGTGATACACATAGAAATGAATGACCGTCTTCTGTAGTTTGACAGTGATATCACTTTTTGGTGTTTTTGACAGAAGTCCTTCATAGTTGTCAAGGCTGCCTTTATTTGATCCAAAAAAATACAGTAAAAACAGTAATATTGTGAAATATTATTTAAATTTAAAATAACTGTTTTCTTTTTGAATATATGTTCAAATGTAATTTATTCCTGTGATGCAAAGCTGAATTTTCAGCAGCCATTATACTCCAGTCTTCAGTGTCGCATGATCCAAGAAACATTATTATCAGTTGTAAATAGCTTTGCTTAATATTTTTGAGGAAACCGTGATACGCTACCATTCAAAAGTCTGGGTAAGTATGATTTTATAATAAAAATAAGCAGGGAAAAAAATCAGCAGAATGATTTCTGAAGGACCATGTAAAATTACATTTTAAAAATATTAAAATAGAAAAGTTATTTCAAATTGTTATTATAATATTTTACAATGTTACTTATTTTACTGTAACAAATAAAAGCAGCCTTGGTAAGCATAAGATACTACTTTCAATGTAATATTTAATAAATATTATTTGATTTTTGACTTGTAGTGTATCTGGATCATATTTCAACCCAAAATCAGATGAAAAATGACAAAATGTTTTGCTTAAGAAAAATGAAACAAATTATCATGAAAATAATGTTACAATGCCACATATCATAATGGTTCTAAAAATATGTTTTTTCTTGTTCTTCATGAAAAAAAAGTTCCTTAACTGTTGGTTTTAGCCTGAAATATGACTTGGACATGTTTTCATGAGTTTCATCCCTTCAAGGCTTCTTGTGTCCTCGAGAAGATGGAGCGATGCAATCTATTTTCTCTCTCTCCCCCAGTTCTTATTTTGTGTTTATTTGTCTTATTTGTCTGAAGCAACAGACAGTAAGGATGAAGAAATCAAAGTTCCTAAGAGGCTCTTTCTGGGTATGTACTGATGTGTTGCCCACAAACACCAGTCTGATATTATAGATTTATAAAAATATAAATATTTCTTCTTCATAGTTCTTCAATCACATTTAAGTTTCTGTAAACAATTTAGGTTTCCACAGTAATAGAAAACTTGAGAATCTTTAAATTGACATTTACAGGTCTGGAAAATGGAATAACATAATATAAAAATAATAAATTATGTAAATATAAAATATAGTATTTCACTTGGAACTTTGAGCAGTTCTTCCATTTACACGTAAATACTCGTAATTTCCACTGGCTAAATGGAAGAACCGCTCAAAGTTCCAAGTGAAATACTATATTTTATATTTACATAATTTATTATTTTTATATTATGTTATTCCATTTTCCAGACCTGTAAATGTCAATTTAAAGATTCTCAAGTTTTCTATTACTGTGGAAACCTAAATTGTTTACAGAAACTTAAATGTGATTGAAGAACTATGAAGAAGAAATATTTATAAATTTATTCCTGTGATGCAAAGCTGAATTTTCAGCAGCCATTATACTCCAGTCTTCAGTGTCGCATGATCCAAGAAACATTATTATCAGTTGTAAATAGCTTTGCTTAATATTTTTGAGGAAACCGTGATACGCTACCATTCAAAAGTCTGGGTAAGTATGATTTTATAATAAAAATAAGCAGGGAAAAAAATCAGCAGAATGATTTCTGAAGGACCATGTAAAATTACATTTTAAAAATATTAAAATAGAAAAGTTATTTCAAATTGTTATTATAATATTTTACAATGTTACTTATTTTACTGTAACAAATAAAAGCAGCCTTGGTAAGCATAAGATACTACTTTCAATGTAATATTTAATAAATATTATTTGATTTTTGACTTGTAGTGTATCTGGATCATATTTCAACCCAAAATCAGATGAAAAATGACACAATGTTTTGCTTAAGAAAAATGAAACAAATTATCATGAAAATAATGTTACAATGCCACATATCATAATGGTTCTAAAAATATGTTTTTTCTTGTTCTTCATGAAAAAAAAGTTCCTTAACTGTTGGTTTTAGCCTGAAATATGACTTGGACATGTTTTCATGAGTTTCATCCCTTCAAGGCTTCTTGTGTCCTTGAGAAGATGGAGCGATGCAATCTATTTTCTCTCTCTCCCCCAGTTCTTATTTTGTGTTTATTTGTCTTATTTGTCTGAAGCAACAGACAGTAAGGATGAAGAAATCAAAGTTCCTAAGAGGCTCTTTCTGGGTATGTACTGATGTGTTGCCCACAAACACCAGTCTGATATTATAGATTTATTCCCCTTCCCATCATCCACCCCTCTCATTTCCTCCCAGTATGACCTGGACAGAACCGAATACTCCTCTAATCCAGTCATTAATTCACAGCTCTCTATTAACCCCGAACTTTCACTTGCATGTATCTAAAACAGACATAAGTGTATAAGAATGAATGCATGTTTCGTTAGTGATAGAGGCCGTTTTGCATGCATTCTGTTGATTTGGATGCTGAAATTGCAGTGTTGCATGCATATAGATGAGCGTGACTTGCTTTTTAATTGATATCAGTTTGTGTATGGCTCACATGAACTATTCAGTCAAAGACATTTTTTAATAATTCAGTTTTCATGGTTCTAACAGCTCATTTAACTGGTTGCCAAATCAGTAATTTAATAATATTTTATATCGCTGCATACTGTGCTATTTTATACTTCTGTGTTCTTCTTGGTGGCTTTATGATTTAACCCTGTAACACTCAGAAGAGCGTTGCATGTCTTTGGCTACTGGGCTGATTGCAATTGCAATGTCACATGACACAGGCATGTTTTCACTGAAAGCTTCTTGGCACCCGTGGTTTTTGTTGCTCTACATGAACAGCAGGTGGCGATAGTAGATTATTCCTGAGATCTGATCTTGTACAGTCATTTAATGTATTAACGAAAATCCTGACATTCTGCCAGAGCAAGCTGGACCTTTTTTTTTTTGTTGTTGTCCGAAAAAGAAAGAAGGGCACACAGCATTAAAACAATGCTCAGCAGGCTGAGTAAATGATAACTTAATTTTAATTTTTGGGTGAACTGTCCCTTTAAGTCATCCTGCAACCCCTTTGAAGTTTGCTCCCTGAATGAGAACCACTGGTTTAGACTTTAGACTAGTTTAGTTACTTAAGACTAGGTGGTGTGGTGGTTAAAGATCTGGGCTAGTAGCCCAAATATTGTAGGTTTGAACCTGTGAGGGGCGATCCCTTCACTTACCGTTTGTTCAAGACACTGAACCTCAGGTTACTCCAGCAGGGATTTTCCCTGTAATAGTGTACTGCAGATCAATGCTAAATCTAATTCTTGAATTAGATTGTACACAGTGTGCCCTGAAATATACAGTGCATTCAGAACAAATGTGCATTTTAGTCACATTCTGTGTTGCAGCTTTATGCTAAAATGCTGTTGAAACCCTTTTCACATCAGTCTATACTCTGTACTACTTAATGGCAAATCAAAAATCAGATTTGTAATAATGTTGCATATTTTATTAAAAAGAAACGTTTTAAATAATTTAAATTATAATAATTTATAATAATAATTTACAGCATTTTAGCATAAGGCTTCAACATAATATGTAACAATAAATGTTAGTCATCAGAATACTTAGTAAAGTGTGTAACAGTGCAGTTCACAAAACAAGTATGTGTTTTATAACTAGCTTTGTACATAACTGTACTCTACCAGTGTTAGTTCAGTATTACTTATAGGATTTATTAATATTTTGAATTAGCATTTGTTTTTATATTTTCAGCTTTCATTTGAACATATATATACATATACATGTATGTATATGTGTGTGTATATATATATATATATA